ACCGGCTCATTCAGTTCTTTTTGAGTTGGACGTGCTACTTGGCTGTGCGTCCTGCGTCATCAACCCGGAACTAAAGTTCGATTCAGTTCGATTTGTGAACCGGCTCAACCGGTTACTTCCTGAGAACCGGCTCAAAAGACCGATTCGTTCAAGAACATAACATCACTAGTTACGAGCTCCTGTTAGAACCAAATGGAACGTGTCTGGAATTATCAGTTTTTTGAGGATTGGTTTCAGATTGTTGGTTTTAATCTTCTCATTTGAAGTGGTTTATGGATTAAATGCCCATCTAAGATCAGGAGAAGACTTATTTTTGGGTCTTTCATCATGTATGGCAGAGTGGATTATTTCTCTTTTTTGGATAGTCTAAGGACTGAGGACTTGCACATAAGGACTATACATTTAACTGTTTGACCAAAGACTCTCGTTAAGTGTTTGTTTTTCTGATTTGATTGTGATTTGCGATGGCGCCGACGGTGATGGCTGCCTCCGTTTATTCACTCATACACTTATTTATCTAACACACATACTCAGTCTATATTTCAATTTGCACATAATATACCTGTACATACAACTGTCTATTGTTCTATACCTGGACATACAATTGTCGATTGTCGATTTGTATATTTTTTATTCCTTATTTTACTTGTTCTATTTTTTATTTATTTTTATTTTTTATTATCTGTGTTTTTTGTTCTGTCACTGTCATTCTGTTACACTGTGGAAGCTTCTGTCACGAAAACAAATTCCTCGTATGTGTAAACATACCTGGCAATAAAGCTCATTCTGATTCTGATTCTGATATTACTATATTTTGTAAGCTTACCTGCTTATTTCTGTCTTGGTTTTCTTTCAAGCCTTTATATAGCTGCTTTGCTATTCATTCATGCATAGTGAGTTTCCCGAACTTTAAAGTAACCACTGGTTTGCAACCTAGCTTTAGGTACAAAGGGTTCTGACTCTCATCACTTTGCAGTCAGGATAGCCAGGTCCTTCCAGCGCTTCATCCAAAAATTAAAATTCTGTCATTAATTACTCACCCTCATGTACCGTAATTTTACGAAGCTACGAGAATACTTTTTGTACACAAAGAAAACAAAAATAACGACTTTATTCAACATCTCGTCTCCTTTGCATCACCCTGGTGCCATTTTGGAGAGTATCCACTGAACGTAAACAGCGTATGCTGTTCTGTGTCAGCTGCGTCATGCGGATACATTGTTTTCATTCAAATCAAAGCGTAAACAACGTAGAAAACGTATCCGCATGGCGCAGGGCTCTGTAATTTCTTGTGTGCATTTGTTATATTGCTGTTGTAGTAGCAATATAACAAATTTTTTGTCTGTGTAGTACAGACAAAAAAGTTTATTATGTTTTATCAGCACTGTTCTATGGTTACATATTTATGATGTGTATTTTTATTTTTTAATTTTCTTTCCTTTTTCTTTTTAATTATTTCATTTTTAAATTCATTTAAACAAAAAAGAGTAATAAAGAGAAGTACAATCAAAACCTTATATTATAATCACATTGCACTTGAATAAAGTTGATGATGCAATCTTCCGGTTGTCCTGCAGGTGACCTCATAACTCTGTCTTCTTACGATGCACTGAGGGCTTTACGATTACTCCAGAGCGCTCGTAGTTCCCTTTCATGGGAACTTCGAACTGCATCCTCTAGGGGGAACCAAATCAGCATATTAGAATTATTTGATGCTGAAGACTGGAGTAACGTCTCAGGTTACTTATGTAACCATGGTTCCCTGAGTAGGGAACGAGACACTGCGTCCTCTAGGCTTCCTGCCATGCTTCGAATGCAAGCTTCAGACAAAGAAGTGAATGACATGTTCTCCCTGCGCCTATTTATACTATAGTCGCACCGGTAGTGACGTCATGGCTGTCGCCGGCCAACGTGTTGTTGGTGTTTTTTCAATGTATGCTTCAGACACGGGTCACGACGAGGCGTTCCCCATAGCGACCCCTAGAGGATGCAGTGTCTCGTTCCCTACTCAGGGAACCATGGTTACATAGGTAACCTGAGACAATCTGCGATGATTTTCAAGTGCTACTTAAGTTACGATGCTTTTGGGAAACAGACCGTTATACTAGATCAGTCGTACGATTGTTTTTATGATCGTCTTAGGCTTACGATGCTTTGGAGAAACGCAGCCCTGGACGATGACATCACTGAATCATCAATGAACTGACTTTAACTGATAAACTGACTGTTTTCTATCGTCCTCCTGCATTATCAGCACACACTTTGCCTGTTTGACTCTGTAAAGCTGCTTTGACACAATCTGTATTGTATGAAGCGCTATAGAAATAAAGGTGACTTGACTTGACAGCAGCATTATTTTGCAGGTCATTTTCAATAGATGCTTTTTTTGGACGGAGGATAAAGTCCTGAAAGTCACAGCCCACATGAAAAATACTATAGTAATTTATAGTAAATACTATAGTGTTTTTGAACCATAGCCTACTATAGTAAAAGTACTTGAATTAATTTGTTGTGGTAATTCTATAGTTGCTGTGGTAATATAACAACTATAGTAATATAAACAAATTGCTTTACCCAATACTGTACTAAGTTTTCTACAACTATATTATACTACAATACCTACACTACAGTTTACTGTAATAAAAACTAAAGTAGCCTATACTACAGTATTTATTACAGTTTATCACTATAGTTAATACTACAGTATGCTGTAGCATTCATTAACAGAGTGTTGTAAATACTATAATATATATAGTATAATACAATTTACTATAGTATGGTTCAAAAACACTATAGTCCTTTTTTCATGTGGGAGTGTGTTTCCAAAGTACCATGTACTCTTACTTGAAATGTCAAGGAAAATGTGATTCCTCATGATGGTTTACTGAAGTGTTTTATTCTGTTATCGCTCAATCTTGTATGCGGAACCACACTGGCTGACTGTAAGTTACCGTGGCCGAGAGAGCTCTGCAAATGAAAAAAATATAAAAAATAAAACATGCAAATAGAAAAACACCAGTAAATTATCAAAACATCTTCATCAGTTTGACAACATATGCGCTGCAAATATTCACAACACAACCAAATACAAAAACGCGCTGCAAATATATAGAGAACCGCAACAAGTGCCGAAGCTGGCTGGGACACGCTTCAGTGTCTACTGTGAAAGCTAAGATTTTGGATCATGAACATCTTGATCATATGATTCCACAGCTTTTTTTTTCTCTCTCTCGATATTATTAGCCTAAATAAGCTGACGAAATACACCTACTGTAAATGTAAGCTGGCTAAATTACTTTTACAACTTCCCTAACGAAAATTAACCATGGCTTTACTATTTAGAAAACATGGTTAAACCATGGTAATCACAAATTGCACTAAGTTTAACCATGGTATTTGTGTGGTTATACAAATGGTAGTCACCAAAAAAAAAAAAAAATTATGACGGTAAAATGGTAAACGCCAAAAACATAATTACTACACTTTTACTATAATAAAACCATGGTTAATTTTCGTAAGGGTTGTTGGGGTCTCCTTCAAACATTTGCGTTGTGGTATAGCCTACTGCTTGCGGTGCGTTTCTGTATTTAGTTGTGTTGTGAGTATTTGCAGCGTGTGTGTTGTCAAACTGATGAAGATGTTTCCTTAATGTGCTGTAGTGATGTTCGGTTCTTGAACGAATCGTTCTTCTGAGCCGGTTCTCGGGAAGTAACCGGTTGAGCCGGTTCACAAAACGAACTGAATCGAACTTTAGTTCCGGGTTGATGACGCAGAACGCACAGCCGAAGTAGCACGTCCAACTCAACAAGAACCGAATGAGCCGTGGTGAAGTTTGCCGAGGATTACCGAAGATTCTGATGAGTGAGTTGACGATACTGTGCAAGCCTGAGGCGCGTACTGGAAATATGCTTATTATGACTGTTATTAATTTACATTTTATTAAAACCTGCAAAAACCTTTTTGTCGAGTGATGTAAATAAATTTTACTGTTTATTGTTCATGCATATTATATTTAAAGTTGCTTAAGCGAAATCAAGGAGTTTATAAGACTGGTTTATTCATTCTTTATACTGTAGACATGTAGAACATATCCGCGCTTGTGCATCAATGTCTGTAATGTGTGCT